TTGAGTGGCTTCAATATATAAGCCTGATAAAACACCATCTCTTATATGGGACTAACACATTGAGTAACTCTGTCAGAGGTTACTCGCCTATACTGCATTCTTACAAAATTTTACAACTGTCTTTCATGTTTACATTACTCATTCGACCTATTCTGGAATATGCCTGCTAAGCGTGGATCCTTACATGCTCAAGAACAAACATACAGAAATATGCTCTACGTATCTGCTCTGGTAGATAGTTTGCCGGTTGTTGGATTTGTTTAGAATCCCATCATTGGGCAGCCGCCGAGAGTACTAAGAATGACTACAATTTCTTACTCACCATTCCTACCTTCTTCCTAACTTTTCAGCCATCTGTTTCAACCCGTTCAAGTACACGAAGCTCCTCTTTTGCCCACACAACTCACTTTAAGCACTCGTTTTTGCCTAAAACGCTCCCAAATGTGGAATAATCTACGTTGCGAAGTTTAGACCATGACCCTACTTGTTGAAGTATATACTTACTATTAGTCGGTGCACATAAAACTTTAGCATTATTGCTACTTTTGTGTATCCATGCAATTGCTGAATTTATGGATTGATAATTCCCAGAACCTAGGTTTATGATCAGCTTCATAAAGCCATCTCCAGGAAAACTACGGCAATGTAATATATCTGCTGTACTTGGCAAGTTTGGTAATGGTGAAGGCATAAAGTTTCGTGAGACACCTGTAACTAAGCGATGATGTTTCATTGAATCATTGACTACAGTGAACTCACTTTCTCAGTCGGGAGCAGCATTCCTTACTGCACAGTCCAATTTTAAAGCAGACTGTAGAGTCTCTTCCTTTGGGCCCTGAGCAGGCTGTAGTGTGGAGCACAATTCCCTTCGTGTTGTTGAGCAGCAATCTATATCTGACTCTTCTTCCCCTACTGTAATGGTAACGTGTGATTCGCATTGAGCTGGTCAATATTGTGTCTTTTACAGATGTGTCTGTTCGTAAGAGAAGTATCAACTAATCATTACTCAAAAGAGGGCACATAGCTCTTGTTCAAAACGTAAAGCTGCACAGCTTCAGTTGTCACCACGGTTTGTGAATACAAAAGGCCGCCTTGGTAGCCAAATTCCATGTTATATCTTTATAGAACATATGAACAATTACATCAGTTCACACAGAGTCCATAGTTGGAGTAGCTAAATCTATTGGAACTATCGTTAGATATATGTCAAATATTTTAAGAGCAGACAACTAAAAAAGGTGTTACCCCATACCAATTTTTGAAAAGGACTTGTCACCAATAGTGAAAACTCTTGAAGATGAAAAAAGAGAGGTGCCGCTAGGAATGCGACACCACCACTCCTTCAAATTCAAGTGTGGCCTTCTCAAGAGTCTTTTAAAGCAAGTGCCTTTTAAAAGAGTTGAAAAGGGCATTGACCAATGCGTGTATCAGTGATTGCTCCTGCTTGTATTGTGAGTGGGTTCACATTGTGTGTTCGTCTTTCTTCTTTACTACCAAAACTTCTGCTTCCCGTATCTCTATGAGCCTGCATATCTAGGGCTGGCTGCTTGTTGCAAGACTTGGCCCAATCTCGAATGAAACAGACTTTCATGCAGCTGGCTGGATCTTTTTGCATTCCCATGCCTTTACAGAAAGAGAGAGATAAGAAATAGGAGGAGGGCTTCTGGTGGCTTCACAACATAAACAACACCGAGGCTCACACAAACATACAAAGGAGGTAGGAAGGTGGAACAAAGCAACAATATCACTCCCTCTCAACTGGACTAGTAGACTGATAAGTATTAGTTAACGTATAGACGGCGAGGCGGTACAGGAGATACTGTTGACTATACCGGACGAGGGCGTAGCCCGAGGCCGGTATAGTTAACAGCCGAGGAGGATTTCCTGTACGTGCCGAGACACCTGACATTAACTGATTTGTAGTCCAACTAGCCAATCACAATGCTGAATTTCTGCTGTGTCATCCTGCACTAATGCACTAATGGACTGTTGTGTAAACTTTGGAAGCCAGACAATTTGCACTACGCCTAGCGCTAGATGTTGTGATAAGGACTTCCTGTCCAATACTGATGCCAGTGCCGCCCACAGCCCACAGCTCAGAATACAGCGTATATTCCTAGCACCGGGTTGTTTGTAGTTGGACTACAGAGCAACGGTAATACTAATTGTCCAAAAATAGTAATAAGAGCAATTGGCACAAACACAACGTTTCGGCTTTTCGGCCTTCTTCAACGTACAAAGGGGCTAACTATACATGCGTGAGCTGATGCACAGTGGTAGGAGCGCAAAAAAAGACATAGATAGTATAAATATGATGGAAGGACTGTGAGTGGAAATATATGAAAAATATGAAAGTTAAACGGATAAAAGTTAAAAATCAACGTGCTTGTAGACTGAAGGCAAACCATCGCACAAGCCACAGATGCCCTCATAGGCGTGTCTCTTCATACATACATCATACTATTTGCTAGCTCTCTCTATTAGTCTCAGTTGTGCAGCCTCAGCTGTGGCATGGGACATGGTGGTGACCAACTGGAAATTGTTTTACATTTTTTCATGCTACGAGCATTGGAGGTAATGTTAAGTGTTTGCATAACTGACTATAAACCGACTACCATTTACATTTGTGCAATTTAGGAACGCAGAACATGGACAGGAATGATAATACTCATGTGGCAGTCGTAGCACTGGGGCTATCGACCACGCACCCAGAGCAATGGGCGGAACCATTAACAAACGAACACACACCAAATGAACATACACTCACACAGGTGTCTGTCTCACCTCCCAGACACCTCAACTCACCCCTTCCACCAGCAACACCCTGCAGCTCCTTACACACATTCTGAGACTGGGACTGTTGAACACTGGGGTGATCGACGTATAGCCTAACCTTTCTTAGCTCCCAAACATCTAAAATAAAACCCTTAACAAGATCAAGCAGAAAACCAATTTATCCTTCCACAGCTCACTGCACAAAAGAAAGGATGCCTTCCAGAGACTATCAAGCAACTGGAAATGCTCAATCCCATCCCCAAGCTTCCCCTGAAGGGCAACTAAGAACTTGCTTCTAAGACTACTATATGCTGGAGACTCCCACAACACATGACTCACACTTTCACACTCATCATCACACAACAGGCACTCCTTCATCCCCTCCCTCCCCCTATGCCTACCCAGCTCCTCATTTACTCCATGCGTGCCTGACCTTAACTTAAACATTAATCTAGACCCAGCATCGCTTGCCCGATGCAAACTCTACCACCTTGTTAAACATCTTATACAACGTCAGCTTTACTTGCTATTTAACTCCTCTTCAAACTTCCTAATCTCCCTCTCATTGATACTGTCCCCTACTATAGACAGAAAGCCCTTGACCCCCAACCACTCTGCCTTTTCAAGACCTAATGATGAAAAGAGATGATCAATGACCTGACTCTAGCACTTCCTCTGCCTGCCTTTTCGTGGTTTAAAATTCCATTCCAGATTAAAAAGCTTCTTCGGAAACTTCGGTTACTAAATCTTACTAGATCTTTGACCAGTACTACAATTTGTCCAGAGATCTCTCCATCTGACAAAATGGTTGTATAATACCTTTAAGGCTTTATTGAGCGTTTTACACGGTAGTCTTAATATAAGTACGTAACGTAGTAGTTAAGCTGCAGCATTTATACTCAGAGAAAGGTACCCACTGATCAGTGTATTGTACACTTTGCTCTTACTCCTTCCACTCCTGTTTCTATATTTCCTTTGTTGTTTATCAAAGTTGTCGTGGTCTATAAGCTTTGTTGTATTGCCAATATGACTGTAAGGGTATTATATACTACACATTTCCCTCATCCAAAACTCATTTCTCTGTAACAGTTTAGATCTGCTAGAGAAACGTCCTCTGGGTAAGTATTACCTCATTACCTCACTCTGACAACGGGTCAAAGAACAACCTTCTTACTACTGCTATCCATTTTTAATTAATGTGTAATTAAAATGCACTTAAGTGCAAACTTTCAGTGCAACACATGTGTGTGGTGTTGATGTCGACATAACACGCCTGTGGTACCAATTGATGGGCCCAAAGTCGTCTAGCCCATCGACGGAACCAGATTCACATTCTAACAGCATCAGTAATTGCGTTTTTGAGCAATATTGGACTGGATCCTTCAATCGTGCGCTGAATTGGCTAGACCTTGTTGTTTTAAGCCGGTAATGATCGTTCATTTAAGCTTTTTTTGCTTGTTTTCAGTCCATAAAAGCAGTCATTTCAAGTGAATTGCTTTTTTATTTTTCTCGCTCTGTTAGCTCTAAGTCTCAAGTCCCAAATTCTCACATAAGCTAACCACATAATCTGTCACTGACTTCTTTTCATCCTTATGCTTAGGACACCCAGCTCTCTTCCTCCTTAGTCAAGAACAAAATTCAACCAGCCATATAAGTATACCTTCCTAGAATTAAAGGTTCGTAACTCTTCGCTTCAGTTTCTACCTAGCCTCATTTCCAGGCCTCTGAATAAAAGGAGGTGAGGCCTGGTACATACTACAATGTGTTTTACGCAGAGTACCACAAAACCTGGGGAATCCGGTTACCTCAGTATTCCGCGTGTCAGCCTCGCTACTAGCCTCCAAAGATGAAAAGACGATCGTTCATGGCGGCACAGTTAGTAAAAAAGCCCCATTTCGTAGGAGCCCTGGGGACGAGGCTAGTTTCAACAAAACACATCTTCCTTGAGCTTCAAGTAACTGTCCTTAATTTTAGTTTTTTGAACCTGGGCTTCCCTCTCTCTCCTACTAAACACTCTTGTGATAGCAGATCTTGCTACCTCCTGTGATTCGTGCAGCTGTTTGATTTGGAGAGTGGTGTCTTCGGTGGTTTACCCCACTGCTCTTACATATTACCAGATGGGCTTCTGTGCTGTACCACAGTGTTTGGGGTTCTTTTGCTTGTGTTGTGTTGCATGTTTAGTAGACTTTGAGCCCTGCCTGCTACACTGCCCTTGTAGCTCAGTGGTAGAACACTGTCTAGAAAGCATAGTGTGCTTGGTTGCGGTTCAACCGAATGTTGGCATCGGACAGCTCTTTTTTTAAAATGTTGTCCTAGGTGTAGTTGAAATGGTTTGACCCTGTGATAATAATAATACTCAGACAACGCACCCAGAGCAATGGGCGGAACCGTTAACAAACGAACATACACCACAATATGAACATGAGGTGTCTCACCTCCCAGACACCTCAACTCACCCCTTTTACCAACGACACCCTGCAGCTCACCAGACGCAATCTGAGACTGGGTCTGTTGTACACTGGGATTATCGCCGTATAACCTAACCGTTCTTAGCTCCCAAACATACAAAATAAAACCTTTAACAAGGCCAAGCAAAGAACCAAATTTATCCTCCCACAGCTCACTACCCAACATAAAGGATGCTTTCCTGAAACTATGAAGCGACTGGAAATGCTCAAACCCATCATCCGCAAGCTTCCCCTGCAGGGCAACTACGAAATTTCTCCTAAGACTACTATATGCTGGACACTCCCACAGTACATGACTCACACTTATCACACTCATCATCACACAATAGGCACTCCTTCATCCCCTCCCTCCCCCTATGCCTACCCAGTTCCTCATTTAGCCCATGCGTGCCTCACCTGAACTTAAACATTAATCTAGACCTAGCATCACTTTTCCCATGCAAGTACTTGAACTCTACCACCTTGTTAAATGTCTTAAATAATAACAGCTTTACTTTGCTATTTAACCCCTCTTCAAACTTTCTAATCTCCCTCTCATTGATACTGTCCCCTATTATAGACAGAAAGCCCTCCAAGGAGCAATCCCCATTTTGAATATCATGCAACCACTGACCCTGTGATACACTTTAATAGAAATCATACACCTTTTTCCCACTCATTTTGATGATCCTTCCTAAACCACTTTCAGTCCTTCAGTTCAGTCCTTCTCTCCTGTCCCTGTTACTAAACGTGCGCGTATAAGCCATATGCATACGCAGGTCGGAACTACTAATTGATTGGCTGGGCTTAGACTATCGTGAGCTGTCGCTAGAGTTTGAACTAGACTAGTGGAAAGCGCTTCAGGCATCGCGAAACTTATCTTACGTTCTCCGTTGAATCTTCTGATGCCTCCACATGTGCAAACTGGTGGAATGCGGTCGAGTTAAGCAAATTGTAATTTGAGTAATTCGCTTGTTCACCTGGCTTTCACGCCATTACTTTTGAACGCCGTATTTTTACAAAAAAATCGCTGAATTAAACCAGTGTAACGCTGAATCCGTTTGTATCACTTTTTTACCGTCTTGTTGCGCGTGGTGGCAGGAAACGTGGTAAGATACAGATTAAGATACAAACGTACCAAGTACCGTAACCATCGCTGCATGTGTGCGCCGAGGGTTAATGATCACCGACCTCCATTTTGCTTATGCTCACTACACAGCCACATACCAACCGTAACAAAGAGCTGACATATTCACTCTTAAACATAACCTCAGTATACTTGCGGGACTGTGCATGAAATAAACGGTGGCGGTTAATTTGTTGCTCTTAAAAACAGATGGGTATAACCATGGAACTGGTGGTGCCACTGCTGTGGTTGAATCTTGTCTCACCTTTAAAGATGACTTAATTACTGGCCAAAAAAGACTGTACGTCCCATAGAATGACGTAATTCTGGATAAAAGGCCAAGCTAGTCATTGAAGTTAAAAGTCTATACTTGTGAATAATTAATCGCTCAAATTTGTCCTTCAGGCATGTTACATCATTCACTTTTTTTTTCAGATTATGACACTTTGTGACTATTCACTTTGGAAGCTCACAGCTGAAGCTGGTATGAAATGAGTAACCCTTGGTGCGCACATGCGCAGCAAGGGTTACGGTACTGGGTTCGTAAGTGTGTCTCTTTGTCTGTCTGTCTATCTGTATAAGCATGTGGCAGACGCCTAATGGATTGTGAAAATGGGCAGTACAGACTGCTGCCCTCACACTCCATGCAAACCACCAGCCAGCTCAGTTAGACACTGGTTTTAAGTTTGCAATGCCTGCCTTAGCAACAAAGCCAGGTCTACAAACTGATGCAGTAGCACGGCTAATGTCGCTTTTGGAAGACCTTAGACTGGAGTGGATCCTTCGTCTACTTGCAAAAAGGTTAAAAGATTTACTGGTTTAGTCTGACTTTTCACGCCAGAGGCAGCTTTACTTTAGCTGTCGATATCGTTACTTTCCACAGTCATTTGTCGATTCTTGAGAAGTGAAACATTCCCATAAGTGGGGAAAATTACATAACACCCTCAACTGTTGTATAATGCAGATCAATACCATCTGTCTCATATATAATCTTCTGCTTCTTCTTAAACTTTACATCTGATTATAGCTGATCATTAAACTGTGTTGCAGGTGAGTCTATAAAGCCAGTTTTACATCAGTTGTGTGTGACATTTGTGGACTACATTCTGGAAAAAGAGTTCTATCCCACAATGAATGTAAGTTGCTGCTGTGCTCACGGTAATTACTAGTTTAAGACTGTTGCGAGTATTGTACGGGAATCTTTGAACGGGGATGTAGTTGAGATGCTGATAATACATGAGTGATAGCCAATTGATTTAACAGACTATGAGGCCACATCTGATATATACTAACACTTTTTAGCAGTAAACTATTGTATCAGTAGCTTTCAAGAGTACTTTGTAGCTGCTGCTGACTGCTTTTGAAGACAAGTTGAGTAGGCTACAATGACTGACCATTGGGCCATTCTGTTGCTGTCGTCCAGCAACCTATAGGCAGTGGAGGCGAGGGTAGTCTAGCATTAAGGTGTGCGTAGTATGAAGTAGCATTATGAGGTTATGATAGGTAATTTTGTTCATCTTCAACATAAAACACATACATATAACATACCTGTAACGAAAAGTT